AACAGAAACATGGGTGAAGGGAGACAGTGGACGGTGTAAGATATGAAATTAATAATAATTTATAATTTATCAAGGATTCAGAATGGTTGGAAGATGGGGGAGGGAGGGGAAAAAAGAAGAGCTGATACCAAGGGCTCACGTAGAAAGAAAATATTTTGAAAATGATGACAACATATGTACAAATGTGCTTGATACAATTGATGTATGGATTGTTTATGAGATATAAACGCCCCCAATAAAATGATTTATTTTAACAAAGAAGAATAAGGAAAAAGAAAACTTTAAACTTTAGATATTCATGGTTTTCCAGAAAGGAAAGTCAATTTGGGGAAGGAGGGCTGGGTTGTGAAGATACCGGGGGCTGTTTTTGTTGTTAGTTCAACCACTGGCGACATTTTGCATGACAGAAGGGAACACTGCCCGGTCCTGCGCCATCCTCACGGTGGCTGTGGTCGAGCCCAGTGTTGTCCATCCAGCTTGTCGTGGAGCTTCCTCTCTTTGAACCCCTCTGCTTCACGAGGCAGGGTGTCCTTTTTGAGGCACTGCTCCCTCGTGATAACATGTCCAAAGTATGTGAGACAGAGCCTCACCACCATGCTTCTAAAGTGCGTTTTAGCTGTATTTCTTCCAAGATAGATCTGTTTGTTCTTATGGCAGTCCATAGGATTTTCAATATTCTTCTCCAGCACCATGACTCAAGTGCATAGATATTTCTTTGCTCTTCTTTATTCAATGTCCAACCTTTATATGCATATGAAATGATTGAAAATACCATGGATTGGGTCAGGTGCAACTTAGTCCTTAAAGTAATATCCTTGATTGTGGATCCAAGCAAGATAAACTCCTTGACAACTTAAATCTTTTCTCCCGTTGTCACGATATAACCTATTGGTCCATTGGGGATTTTCCTTCCTTTACACGAAGTTGTGATCCATACTGAAGGCTGCAAAACTTTATCTTCATCAGCAAGTGCTTTGTCTTACTCACCTTCAGCAAGTGAGATTGTGTCATCTGCATACGAAAGGTTGTTAATAAGGCTTCCTCCAATCTTGATGTCCTATTCTTCCTCATATAATACAGGTTCTCTGATTTTTTGCTCAGCATACAGATTAAATAAGTATGGTGAGAGGTTACAACCCTGACACAAACCATTCTTGATTTTAAACCCTGCAGTATTTCCTTGTTCTGTTCATACTATTTCCTCTTTGTCCATGTGTAGATTATGCATGAGCACATGAAGTGTTCTGTAATTCCCATTTTTCTCAAGGCTATCCATAGTTTGTTATGATCCACACAACCAAATGCCTTAGTATAGTCAATAAAACACAAGTAAACATCTTTCTGGTATTCTCTACTTTTAGCCAAGATCCATCTGACATCAACAATGATATCCCTCGTTCACTTTGCACATATGAATCCAGCTTGGACCTCTGGGAACTCCAGAGGTTGATATAGTTTTATGATCTTCAGCAAAATTTTACTTGAGTGTTATATCAATGATATTGTTCTGCAATTTGTGCATTTTGTTAGGTCACCTTTTTTGGATACAAACATGGGTCTCTTCCAGTGATTTAGGCAGCTATCTTCCAAATTTCTTGGCACAGACAAGTGAATTCTTCCTGTGCTACATCAGTTTGCTGAAATATTTTAATTGGCATTCTGACAATTCTTGGAACTTGTTTTTGACTAATGCTTCCAGTGCATCCTTTTCATCTTCTTTTGATGCTTCCCGCATCATTCGATATTTTGCCCATAGAATCTTTTAATATTGCAACTCGACACCTGACTCTTTTTCTTTCAGTTTAGGATATAGTTAGTGTGTTCTTCCTTTTGGTTTTCTAACTCTAGGCCTGTGTTAGGTCAGGATGACTAGAGAAACAAATCCAGAGACACTCATATATGTATAATAGCTTTATATAAAGAATTAATTATGTATCAAGCACACATCCCAGCCCAGTCCAGATCAAGTCCATAAGTTCAAATCCATGAGTCTGATACTAGTCCCTTAGTCCCTCTTTAGACTCTTGCACCCATATGCAATGATGTAAAGTGCAGGAAGGTCACAGGCTGGTGGGTGCTAAGTCTT